CCTACTGCAGGAACAGGACACATTTCTGCCAAAAGCCTTTGGGTTCCGAGATTCACTTCTGATTCTCTGGGATCATGGCTGTTAAGCAGTTCGATTAGGAACCACAGAGGCCTTGCCTCCAATTATATAGCTGAGCCGGAGGTGGTTTGTGGGTGTGTCTCCTACATACCTAACTTTTGGCCGTTTACATTCTTGGTAAACTTTGCCCCAAGTTTTTGGGGTCTGGCCAAAGGCAAAGCAGCAATTTTGGGGTATCTGAAATTCTGACAGTGCCATCAGGGTGCTGATGCACTCGCCTCACAGGTACAGATTGACCTGCTGGCAGCACCATACCCCCAGCATTGTCTTTTTATTGTATGTTGGATTTTGCTTTGGGGCCACACCCCATTGTGGCTTGGGGCTTACTCTTGGCTCTGTGCTCAGGATTACTCCTGGCAGACTTAAGGGACCATATGGGGTTTTGGGGATTGAAACTGTGTCATCCACTTGCAAGGCAAGTGCACTACTTGCTGTGCTCTTTCTCTAGCCTGCTTTCAGTGTTTATTTCTCAAAAATAGATATGTTAAAACTTTTTACTGTACTTTGTTGATTTTTGTTTGTTGATCAACCACAACTGTGGTGCCCAAGGGTTATTCTAGCTTGGTGTGTAGAGGTCACTCCTGACAGTGATTGGGGTACCATGCGGTGTGAGGGACTAAACCTACACCTCTGGCTTGCACACCAGCCCATTGAGCTAGCTCCTCAATCTTCTTTAATAGTTTTTTTTATTATGAAATGGAAAGTAGAAGACAGCTAATATTTCAGGTATGCCACTTCTGTTCCTTGGAATTAAATGCTACATATGATTAGCAAATACTGATCCAGGAAGCAAATATAAATAGAAAGTGATTACTCTCTTAATTTGGCAATATGTGTGGGGGAAGAATATAGTGTTACATGGACACTTGTACTACATTTATAGTTCTGTTGGGCACAGAGTGGTAGAAATCCAGGTGATTCTTGTCTAGAGGCTATAATCTTGAGTAGGTTATGATATTGAATATAATACATATGCACTGAAAACTTTGAGGTTTAATACTATGCAGAATGAGTTGAATAGACATGTTTATGCTCTGGAACTAATGAAGAACTCTTTTTAGCTTGATGGAAAAGCTAAACATGCAAACAGATAAAGTCTAATGGTAAAACAAACATATGCTGAAGCTTTGAAAGTAGAGAGTCTGAAGAGTTCATTAAAAAGCAGGAAATTGGTAATTTAGATAGTGGTAATATAATGGATAAAAATCCTTATGTTTAAAGTTCAGGATGGTTTTTGTTACATTATAGTTTTGGGAACCAAGAATGGAGGAGCGAGGTGGTTGGAAAGAGATGGATTGGTTGCCAAAACTGACTTATCCACTGGGCTGAATAGGCACAGAGCCTAGACCCCAGTATTTCTGGAAGCCCATGAAACTTTTAATTCCTCTTCAAATAAGCAGGAAAAATGGGAACTGGAGAGAGAGTATAGCAAGCAAGGCACTTGTCTGGCATGTGGCCAACCTGGGATTTATCCCTGACAACCCATATGGTACCCAAACCCTCCAGGAAGTGATCCCTGTGTATCAGCCAGGAATAAGCCCTGAGCACAGCCTGGTGTGGCCTTCCCCCCCAAAACAAAGGAAAATGGAAAAATAAACTTTTAGATAGAATAGAAATAGTTATACATATATATAAAATCTTTTTCAACGATACAGTTGAAAACTGTAGTTTTAAATATTTTTTAAAATAGAGAAACTGACCATGGAAAAAAATTTTTTGTCCCACAAATGTGATTATGTAGCCCTGTTGAGGCATGATTATGAAGGGCCTGATAGGCTAACTGAAGAGTTTGGATTTAATTCAAGGAGTTTGAAGGAGCTAACAGATTTTAAGTATAATCAGCTGCCTTTTGTGAAAATGCCTCTCAGCATTTGGATGAAGCTATTTCTAGCTTTATGTAGTTATGTTAATGAGAATAGTTTCAGTGCAGGGCCAGAGCCATACTACAATAGGTAGGATGCCAACCAGGCTTTGATTCCTGCCACCCCGTATGATCCTCCAAGTCTGCCAGTTGATCCCTGAGTGCTGAGCCAGGAGTAAATCCTGAGTACAACTGGGTGTGGCCCCCTTCTGGAAAAAAAAAAAGAATAGTTTTAGTGCTTTCAATTCTTATTATAAACAATCTCACAAATTCTGCTGGAGTTGCCCAGGTCCCAAGCACCTCCAGGTGTATATCCTGTTTAAAAAATAAATTAAGGGCCAGGGAATATAACTCATTACTGGATTTGACCCTTATCACTGCATGATCCCCTGAGCACCCTAGGTATTGTCCGCAAAACAAAATTAAAATACATGTTTTTGTTTGTTTTTGGTCCACACTCACCAGTGCTTGGGACTTACTTCTAGCTCTGTGCTCAATGATCACTCTTGGTGGAGCTCAGGAAATCGTATGGAGTGCCAGAGATTGAACCCAGGTCTGCCGCATGTAAGGCAAGAGCCCTTTCTACTGTTACTATCTCTCTGCCCCAAAACACATTTGTTTTTTATTTATTTTGTTTGGTTTTTCTTTGGCCATACCTGGCAATGCTCAGGAGTTATTCCTGGATCTCTGCTTGGGAATTACTTCTAGTGGTGCTCGGGGGACCATTTGGGTGGCAGAGAATCCAACCCAGGTCTGCTTCATGCAAGGCAAGTGCACTGTACTATTGCTCCAGCCCCCATATTTGTTTTTTTTTTAAAGGGGGAAACATTATGTAGAAAAGAGAAATAATAAGAAAGACAGCAAAGTTCACCAAAACAGTACAAATCTAATTGAAAAAACTGTAAGGAGAAATAAAAACAAGGTGAGCAGTTTTCTTCACAAACAAAAGACTCATGCCTATTGTATGAGAATTAATAATGCCTCTTAAAAGAAACAGTATCATACTAGACTGATCATAATGTGTCTTGCTGTTGACAGATTTAGAACACCTTCAAGTAAATGATCAGTTTTCCGTAATTTGACAATATGATGCTAGGCTATCTTGTTTTTAATTGTATTCTTTCCATATGTACTTTTTCGACACTGATTATGAAGAACTCACACTTTGTACAGAAGTACTGCTGAGATGATTCTGTAAATATTTTAAATTACTAATAATGTTTATGAACTGGATTTGACTTTGGTTTGTTGAGGGCAGACTAGTTAGAATTCTTGCTATAACACTCTGCAGAATCATCATGTGAAATTTACTCTTAAAATAGCAAATTTATAGTTGACTCTAACTAGTTCCTTTGTCATAAAAGGAATTCCTAAAAATAGGCTGGATTTATTTTAAGAAAAAATATTTAATGAAGATTGAGGGATATTAAAGATAATATTTTGTTCCTCGAAATTGTATCTTTACTGCTTCAATATTCAGTTCGTCTTGGTGCTAGGGATCTCATCTACCACCAAGATGAACTGAATCTTTATTGTGTTTGTAGGGGAAAGACATTGGAGTTTGGATATAGGGTGTTTTTTTGGTTGTTGTTATTGTTTTGTCTGTTAGGATAATTTGAAGGGTTTTGTTATCCAATGATTGCATAATGACAATGAAAAATCTATATATGTATATATAGATAGGTATGTTCAGGGTATCAGTTATTTTTCAGTTTAAAAGAAATTCAGTTTAAAAGATATTTTGCATCTGTTGTTTGATAAAGATAGACGCTTTTTAAAGTTTACATTTAATAAAACATTTGTCTGATCTAAATACTTCTAGGTACAAATTACTACATTAGGATGGGGGGATGGGAAGTGGGAGGGATACTGGGACCTGTGGTGATAGAAAATGGGCACTGGTGGAGGGATGGGTATTTGATCACTGTATAATTGGGCTGGAGCGACAGCACAGTGGGTAGGGCGTTTGCCTTACAAGCGGCCAACATGGCCGACCCGAGTTCGATTCCTCCGCCCCTCTCGGAGAGCCCGGCAAGCTACCGAGAGTATTCGATATGCCAGACACAGTAACAATAAAGTCTCCAATGGAGACGTTACTGGGCCCGCTCGAGCAAATCGACGATCAACGGGAGGGCCTTTACCTTTACCTTTTATAATTGAAACCCAAGCACAAAAAATTGTAAGTCTACAACTGTACCTCATGGTGTTTCACTAATAAAAATTTTTTAAAAATTACTATATTAGCTCAGTATTTATATAAAATTCTAATCAAAATGGATCACAGAAGTGTTGGGATATGTTGGTTGTGGAAAACTAGATATATATTCATTCATATATACTTTTTATACATATATTCATTTTAACCTTTCTAATGATCAAGACACAAAGAGAAATAGAGTGAATTGTGTAGCTAATATCTGATAATAGGTAGGTAAGAAACACTTAACCTGAGTTGTGAAATGGGATTGGTCACAGAGAAGGAATTACAACTCATAGATAAGGTTTGAAATCTTCAATATAGGGGGTTTTTTTTGCTTGTAGTTTGAATCTTCTAAGTATGAATATGTGTTTTAAATATTTTTATCTGTAGAAATATATTTGTTTTTAATCTTTATAACAAGTTGGTGAAGCATGTAAATGAAGGGACAATTTAAGAAAATCCTAGCTGGAGCAATAGTACAGTGGATAGGGCAGCCTTGCATGTGGCTAACAGGAGTTTAATCCAAAATTATTAAGCCCTCTTGGTTTGTTATATTTTCTTGTTTGCGTAGAAAGCTTGATGATTCAGAATATACTTATTTGAATGCTGTAATGAGAGAAAGAGTAGTGAGAATAATCTGTGTAAGAGGAGATTGCTTTTGAGAAATTTTTTTCTTACTGCTTGGAGGTCATAATGAATAGAAAGGACTTATTGAATAAATATAAAATTGCAGGTTTATTTAAACCTTGTCAGTTATTTAGTAGGGAAATTTATGATACTTTTCAATAAGACTAAGATTTTGCAAAAAAAAATTGTTTTCCAGAGATTTTCATTAATCTTTTCAAAAATTATTTATTTTAGCTTCTCAGAATCAAGAACGGCTGTGTGCATTTAAAGACCCATATCAGCAAGACCTTGGTATTGGTGAGAGTCGAATCTCCCATGAAAATGGAACAGTATTATGCTCAAAAGGTAGCACCTGCTATGGCCTTTGGGAGAAATCAAAAGGGGACATAAATCTTGTAAAACAAGGTAAGTAATACTTTTCTAGATGGAAATAACTTTGTTTTTCATACAATTAACTCTTCTTAAAAAAGGCATGGAAATAGGTTAATGCCTTACCCAGAATCGGGAGGCAGCTGAAAGTAGCAGAGCATGTGCCTGAACGTATTTTAGGTCCTGAGTTTGTTCTGTGACACAGAGGCCATCCCCTTTCCACAGCACTGCCACATGTGGCACTGTTGCTCAACTCAGAGCACCAGATTGCCAGGCCTACATCTTTGGGAATGGACACTGAGTACTACTGAGAGTTGCTGCTATGAAAAAGCTCTCTAAGGAAATAGTAAATTTAAAAGTCTGTATATGTGCATATGTGTTCACAAGAATTAGATTTATAAAGGATAATGGTTTGTAGCTTATTTTAATGATATATTTAAATCATTAGATTGATAATATACCTCATTGTGTGAAATTTGAAAAATATAGAAAACTAAGAAAGTCTACAATTACCTGTTAAAAGCTATTTTACTCTATAAGTTCATTCCCTTGAGGTATTTTTTAATGTGTTTCCATGTTTTTTAATGTGTTTCCATGTTTACGTACTTTATTTTTTCAAAACTAAGATAATACTATATAAATAAATCAATTCCCCGTTTTCCCTATCATGCATATTTTCCTTAGCCTTTAAATATCTTTTGAGAACTTTTTGTTTTTGAGGAAGCACACCTGGGAGTTCTTTTTATGGGGGAGGTGGAGGTGTGGGGGAGCACACCTGACAGTGTTTGGGATTTGTTCCTGGCTGTGCACTCAAATCACTGCTGGTGAGCTCTGGGGAACGGATATAGTGGGGATAGAACCCAGGTCAGCAATGTTGAAGTCAAGCGCCTAACCTTTTGTACTGTCACTCCATCCCTCTTTGGAAACATTTTAAACTTCTGCATACACATTGCTCCTTTTTTTTTTTTTAATTGAATCACCGTGAGATATAGTTACCAGGCTTTCACGTTTGAGTTATAATCACACAATGATCAAACACCCATTCCTCCACCAGTGCACATTCCCCACCACTAATCTCTTCAGTATAGGCCCCCTTTCCCACCCTCCATGGCAGATAATTTCCACCATACTCTCTACTTTTGGGCATTATATTCTGCAATACAGATACTGAAAGGGTATCATGTTTGGTCGTTTATCTACTTTCAGCACACATCTCCCATCCTGACTGATCCCTCAAACCTTCATTTTCTTAGTGAACCCTTCTCTATTCCAGCTGCCTTCTCGACCCTCCCCCAGCCCCCCCACCCCACCCCACCCCATCCCACCCCATCCCCATGCTCATGAGGCAGACTTCCAACTATGGAGCAATCTTCCTGGCCTTTGTGTCTGTTGTCCTTGGGTGTCAGTCTCATGTTATGTACTTTATATGCCACAAATGGGTACAGTCCTTCTATATTTGTCCCTCTTTTTCTGACTCATTTCACTTAGCATGATACTCTCCATGTCTGTCCACTTATAGGCAAATTTCATGACTTCATCTCTCCTGACGGCTACATAGTATTCCATTGTATAGATGCACCAAAGTTTCTTTAACCAGTCTGTTCTCGTGCACTTGGGTTGTTTCCAGATTTTGGGTATTGTGAATAGTGCTGCAATGAATATATAGGTACAGATGTCATTTCTATTGTAGTGCACATTATTCTTGTAGGATACTGTATTGTTTAATGTATGGTCTAGTAACTTAAATACATTAATGTCAATTTGTAGGATGTTGGTCTCACATTGGAGATCCCCAGGAGTGTCACTATGAAGAATGTGTAGTAACTACCACTCCTCCCTCAATTCAGAATGGGACATACCGCTTCTGTTGCTGTAGCACAGATTTGTGTAATGTCAACTTTACTGAGAATTTTCCACCTCCAGATACAACACCACTCAGTGAGTAATTAGAGTAACTTACTTTTCTTTGTAATTCCTTTGAAGATTTTAAATTTAAAAAAATACCTAAGCTTTTCAGCTTCCTTGGGGGAAATTTGCCAATGTTAAGAAGACTACACATTACTTGTTATTCTATCCATTTCTACTGCCTATTTGGTATTCATCTTAAAGCTACATATAAACAGTATCAAAATATCTATGTATAAAACTGTAATATTAACATACTATTTATAACTATAATTTTGAAACTAAATGTTTACAAATAGGAAATTGAAATACATGTATATACAAATAATAAATTACTATGTACAATAAAAAAGGTGAATCCATTTATAGAAAGAATATGTCATGGGATTAATATATAGCAGCTTGACTAAAATTAGTGATACTGTATTGCATATTTGACAGTTTTGAAGAGAATAGGTCTTAAAAATTCTCATATATCAGATATAAACTAGACTTTTGGGGGTCATCATAAGGCATCATATAAAAATATTGAACAGCACAGCGGGTAGGGCTTTTGCCTTACACATGGCCAACCCAGTCGACCCAGGTTCCATTCCTCCACCCCTCTCGGAGAGCCTGGTAAGCTACCTGTGGTGTATTCGATATGCCAAACACAGTAACAGATGTCACAATGAAGACGTTACTGGGCCCGCTCGAGCAAATCGATGAATGATGGGAGGCCAGTGACAGTGACAGTGTGGCATATATTTGAAATTGAAATAGTGTTGTCTGTCAGTTGTACTAAAGAAAAATTGAGTAGTATCCAAGATTAACGTTACCGGGAATGGGTGACCTTCTACCGTCTCCCCCTGTTTCTGGCAACTTGGCAGTCACCCCCACAAGCCACTTCTTACTGGCGCCATATTGCCTCATCAACAACTATAATCCAGAGACTCAACAATAAATCTCTTGGAAGAGAGCACAGAATGATATGCCTTAGCCATGCCTCCATACCCCGCACCAGGCTATTTTATTTGGGGCAACCCGGAGAGGGGCAGGTGAGGTCCGTCCCCCGCCCCCAAAGGAGCCAGCCCCAGCAGCCCGAAAAACCTCCAGATCTCAACCGCCACTACATTCATAGTGGCTCTCCACATGCTCGGGTCAAGCCTCGGGTCATGAGTGGACCTATTTCTGGACCATGTGACTGTAGACATCTCATGCTTTTCACCACTAATATTCCAAGAGGAGTACATACATTTGATGGAGTTTAAAGTAGAAGGCAACCGATCTTAGGGGGAAATATAATTTTGCATATATATGTGTGTGTGTGTGTGTGTGTGTGTGTGTGTGTGTGTATGGGACTTAATGGCTCCTAGGTGAAATATAACAATCTTCACACAATTTTCTCTAAGAAACATTTTTGGATCATCTTAAGCTGATTTTTCATAACAAACAGTATAAAATAAATTATTACAGTTTTGTTTTGGGAGCAGGGGTTGGAGTTCAGAATGAAAACATCTGAAATATGGTGGTGGGATTGGTGTTCGAATATTAAATGTAATCAAATATTGTGAACTACTTTATAAAAATAAAATTTGAAAAAACTAGTATTCTCTCGAAACTCATAGGAGGTGATATCTGGAGAAAATTTCAGATGAAAGAAAAAGCATATGTAATATGCTATCTTTTGTGTAATATAGATAAATAGATTTTTACAGAAAGAAACAATGGAAGGATTAAATAAAAAATAAAAATGTTACTTACCAGGAATGGGGTATTGAATGAAAAGTATAAAGAAAGTTTAAAAAAAAGAGTATAAAAAATGTATTAAAAGTATAAAAAAAGTATTTAAAAAAGTATAAAAAAAGGAAAGGAGTGGTAATTTGCTGAATATAGGTTTTTTTATATATAATTTTGACTTTTTGATCCATGTAACCATTCAATATCTGCAAAGAAAAGTAAATGAATAAGGATGGAAATGAAACAAATGTACCCAATTTTATTTTATGTATCTATAATCATATTAAAGGAAATGAATAAAGTAATTAAAAATTTTATAATCATACTATTTGGCTATATATAAATAAATATATATGGGGCAAGATGGAATATAAAAGATGAAAAATTGCAAACAAAAGAACAAAACACTGTCCTCCTGTTCATCAGTTTGCTCGAGCGGGCCCAGTAACGTCTCCATTTTGAGACTTGTTACTGTGTTTGGCATATCAAATGTGTCAGGGGTAGCTTGCCAGGCTTTGCCTTACGGGCGTGATACTTGGTAGCTTGCCGGGCTCTCCGAGAGGGGCGGAGGAATCGATTCAGGCTCAGCCGGGCTGGCTGCGCTCAAAGCAAATGCCCTACCGCTGTGCTATTGCTCCAGCCCTGAAAACAAATAGTGAACACTTTTTAGAAGATTTTTTTTTATTTCTGAATATGATTGTATATGTATTGCTTTGTAGGATTAAGAAATGAGCATATATGCTGTTGTTCATGAAAATGAGTATTCTTAAGAAAGTTCTTTTCCTTTTGGAGTGCATTTAGTGTATTTTTTGGCCTAATTGCTATTCAGGGACATCTAGTACTATATTGAATAGTAGTGGTGCAGGTGGAAAGACAGCCTTGTCTTGTGCTTGATGTTAGAGGAAAGGCTTTCAGTTTTTCACCCTGGAGTACTTTACATTTTGTGAACTTGTGGTAAATGGCTTTAGCTCTGTTGTGGAAACTCCTCCAACTCCCAGTTTATAGATTTTGTAAATTTAAATGGATGTTGGAGCTTGTCGAGTGCTTTCTCTGCATATATTGATATGGTCATATGATTTTTGTTTTTCCTTGTGTTGATATGTTGTATTATTTTGATTGACCTACATATATATTTTTTCATTTTGTTTTGTTTTGTGGGCCCACAGCCAGTGATGCTCAGGGGTTACTCTAAGGCCTGCACTCAGAAATCAGTTCTGATGGGCTTGAGGAACCATACGGGATGCTGAGAATATAATCCAAGCTGACCATGTGCAAAGCTGAAACCTTAACTGCTGTATTACCTCTCTGTATTATCTCTCTGGCCCCTGACTTGCATATGTTAAACCATCCTTGCTTCCCCAGGACAGATTCTACTTGGTAATGATGTATGGATATTTTTGATAAATTGGTGGATTCAGTTTGCTGATAATTTGATGAGGATCTTTGCATTCATGTACATCAGGGTTATTTTTGTGATGTTTCTGCATTTGATATCAGGGTAATGTTTGCCTCAGAAACTTTTGGAGGATTCCTATTTCTTCAGCTTTCTAAAAAGAGCCTGATAAAGATTGGGAATAAGTCTTTTTTAAAGGTTTAGTTCACCGTCAACCATCTGTGTCTGGGATTTTGTTTGGGGGATTTAAGAAAAAATTGCTATTGCTACTTTGTCTATAATAATTGACTTGTTCAGATACTGTGTTTCTTGTTTCATCCTTGGAAGGTTATAGGAGTACAGAAATTTATCAATTTCTTCTAGGTTCTCCCACTTTGTGGCATAAAGATTTTTTATGTAATCCTGATGATCCTTTGAATTTCTGTGGTATCAGTTGTGAAATCAACCCTTTCATTTATGATTCGGATTACTGAGGTTTTTGTCCTCCCTCTCTCTTTCCCTCCCTCCCTGCTGTCTTTCTCGCTTTCTCACATTTAGGAGTATGAGTTCCTCCTTGTGTATATAATCCTTGGCCTTAAGAAATATCCATTCCAATCCCCTTAAACTTTTTTAAACCTGAAGTTTAAGTTGTCTGATACAGGTATGGCTACCAAAGTCTTTTTTAAGGGAGTTGTTTACTTGAAATACTGTATTTTAGCCTTTGACCTTGAGCCTGTTTTTGTCCTGACAGTTCAAATTTGTCTGTCGTAGGCAGCACAAAGTTGAATTCAGTTTTTGGAACATCCTGCTGGTTTGTGTCTTTTGATTGGTTTGTTTAGGCCATTGACATTGAGTGAGATTATGACATGAAGCTTTTTGCCACCTTTTTGTAGGAGTTACTGAAATTTATTCCATATTAAAGAAGCCTCTTAAATGCTTTTGGCAAAGTTGGAATTAAGACTATGAAATTCCTGAGCTGTTGCTTATCTGTGAAGCTCTATGTCATAGTCTAATGCTGGGGTGTTGCCTCGTGGGCTGTACCTTGTGGTGTTTAGGGTACTATGTGGTACTGGTGGTCCCATACCAAGCATGTACCTTCATTCCTGTATATCTCTGGTCTGATACATTAACTTTTTAAGGCACTGCTCTTCCCTCAACATAGGCTGTTCTGAATTCTCTTTCCCTCTTTCCCTTAAAACCTTACTATTAGGTCACGGTCACGGTCCTCCCGTTGTTCATTGATTTGCTCGAGCAGGCCCAGTAACGTCTCCATTGGAGACTTCTTGTTACTGTGTCTGGCATATCAGATACGTCACGGGGAGCTTGCCAGGCTCTGCTGTGCGGGCGAGATACTCTCGGTAGCTTGCCGGGCTCTCCGAGAGGGGCGGAGGAATCGAACTTGGGTCGGCCATGTTGGCTGCATGCAAGGCAAACACCCTACCGCTGTGCTATCGCTCCAGCTCCAGCCTAAAACCTTACTATTAGATATTTAATTATTTTATTTCATAAAATACTTGCATTAAACTTATAAGATTCTTTGAGAATGTTATTCTACATGGAATAAATCTAGTAGGCAAGTTATTCTCTTTCTCTCTTTCCCTTAAAACCTTAGTATTAGATATTTAATGATTTTGTTTCATAAAATACTTGCATTAAACTTACAAGATTCTTTGAGAATGTTATTCTACATGGAATAAATCTAGTAGGCTCGTTATAGTTAACACCACATCACCACTAAATTGAGTTTTTCTTTTCTGGTGATGAGACAAAAGAATGAAAAACTCTTACTAATATATGTTAATGTGCAACTTAAAGCCAGAATTGTGACACTTCGGAAAGTGAAGCTTATTATTCCAAGTCTTTTCCAACTATGAGAGTCTGCAATACCTAATTTATTCTAAAAGATAGCCAGTCTTTATTTTAAGTAAATGGGTTTTTATAT